ATGGTTTTCTTATGGATGCTATTGTCAGAACTGGACAAAATTGAAATGGGACCACACGAGAAGCACCAGCTTTTTGTAATAAAAAAAGTGATTCTTTGCTTATTTCAAAGCTTGTTTGATGATAAAACAAACAAAAAAATACAGTCAATTTGAGAAGCTTTTTTGAAGTCGGTTAAAAAGAGCACCTGTTGAGTTTCTTGCCGGCCTCTTCTCAACAGAAACTGCTTTCGGAACCGGTGGTAGCTTACGCACTCATGTATCAATTTTTATGTAAAATTCGACGTTTCATAATGTAACATACTCCCCCCCTTTCGCATATATGTATAATAATATTGTTACGTGTTAGAGTTCGAAGGATTTGGAGAGAAAGACCTGCTGACTCTTTTGAAGACTTTATTTACTAGGGCTAGGTCCAACACAAAGCACTAGGTCCAAACACTAAGCACTAACGATGTCCTATTTTGTAGCCAAGTCGTAGGTTTCATTGGTATCGCTCTTGATCACTAGTTTTCGCTCCGAAATCGCCTCGAAGGTAGCTCAAACTGAACTGTGTTCGCTCGCCTCCCTGCGGCTTTTTATATGGGCCGAGACCGGTTCCGGACTAATCCAGAGAGATCATTCCAGGAACGTACCCGACACGCACGAACATGTTCGTGATTACGGAAAGTTCGCGAATGTACCCGGTTTTCGAGACTATAGTTCCATAGCAGTTCCTCTAACGCCATCTAGTATTGAATAGGGGGTTTTATGTCGTCTTTGTTCTTTAGTGGTTTTAATAGTTGACGCTAGATGGCGTTAGTTCCTTTGTGTGTTCATAACACTACTCCCCTCTTAGAGATGCTCGTCCCGAGCATCATTGTTACTGCCATGGTAACGCGCCAGACGGTCTATGTGTACCACTTTGAATGTTCCTCTTGGTTGCTTTTGAATCCTATAAGTCACATCATTCAGTCGGGTAACCACTTTGTATGGACCGTCCCACTTGGTCTGCAACTTTGGGGATTTCCCTTTCCGACGAGTTGGGTTATGCAGCCACACCAGTGACCCTTCGTCGAAGCCGTCCGTGTTCGATTTCCGGTCGTATCTGGTTTCATGTTCTCACTTGACTGTAACCCATTTTCCCGAACCAAGGCGTGTATATAGCGCATTTTTTTTCTTAAATTGCAGACATAGTCTTGTACGGTCTCTGGTCCCTCCGGTGACCCTCCTGTTGTAACTCGCACCCCCCTTTGTTGCGTATATATAATTATAACTTATATATTTTTTCCCCCATTATATGAATAAATCATATAACATCATTACGTGACCAGGATGAAATATTATTGTGATCGTCATGTTCGGTAGGACCGCATTTACGTTGTGTTTATTTAGTAACTTGATTCTTTTAGGTGTATCTTGGATAGATAAATATTCACTAGTTTCGGTATAAGCCAGGGATAATGCCAGATTGCTTTCTTATTAACTAATCCCTCGCTTGAGACGGGCTCAGAGTATCGAGCTCTCACGCTTGTAAAGGGCTCACAATATAATTTTTAAACTAATATCCCTTCTCTCTTGAAAAGGGCTCACATCAATTTCACATACCCGATACAAGTCAACAGCTCCCCCACATTTTAAAAAAATGTAGGGAAGGCACACGGCTCCATGAAAACACTCACCAACGCCGTGTGCGGTGAGCGCCAACCAACATATTCGTTCGAACGGTGGGAACTTTACTGAGATTCGTTAATAATGATAAAACGTATAAAGAGGTCAGACAGTCTGCAGTTCCGTCATCAGGAACCCGACTTGGACAAATCTACTGAGATGTGCATCAAACCGAGACGCAGACTCGGCCATTACGAATAGTGTCGTCTCCCAAGCAAATGTCGCAAGACACAATGTCACTAAATGCAACATGCATCAATACACCTATCGCAGGTCAACACGCCAACATACAGCCTATCCGCATACACAGCAGACATCATCACCTCGAACCTCCGTCAACCAGAATCATACGATGCAATGATATTAGGCGCAGATCACCCCGCAAATACCACAAGACGCATTACTGCATATAGCCGCACGCATCAATGTGACTATCGCGTAGATGGCACACCCTCACACCACATAAATATAACTGCAATCAACTTCGGCTCCAAAGTTTAGAATATACTCGGAACACACGAAGTGTCCAAACATACTCTTTCACGATCCGAATGATAGTCGACGTATCATAGCGTAAACACTAAGACGCCAACCACCAACGGACCCCCACCCAAGCCAAGTAATAGCCAACGTATCATAGTGGAATACACTAAGACGCAAGCCACCACCAGACTCCCCAAAGTCAGATGATCAGTCGACGTATCATAGTGCAACACACTAAGACGCCAACTACCACCAAACTCTTACTATGCCGAAAGACAGCCAACGTATCATAGTGATGGTCACTAAGACGCCAACTACCACCAGCTATCGATGATATGTCCACCACTGAAGACATATCCATTCATGGTTCCACGTTTACCGTAGACCATATCGTCGTACAGAAGTACCACGCAACTCCATAGTAATATGTCTTATAAAGTCCCAAGTCATTCATTGCTCTTCATTATATTTATATATTTATTATTTTTTCTCTGAGCCTTCACATATTATTACTTTTATCCATTAGACCTTACTTCCATATGATATTGGTATGGGACGTTCATACAATGTACTTTCAATATAGTACTAAGAGTCGCGATCGACCTCTGTACTTTCAATATAGTACTAAGAGTCGCGATCGACCTCTGTACTTACATATGTGCGGTCATACAAATGTGTCCCCGCACGGTACATAATACTTCCCTTAGAAATCACTAAGTATGGAATTGTATTTAATGGACATAATAGTGATCGTATCTTGCTATATTTTAATAAATATCCTTCTTTGAGTATTTTAAGTGATTTTTAACTATTTTTAATCAATTTTTGGTAATATCATTTTCTCATACTAAAACTTAAATTTCTTTAATTTAAGTATATATTATTAACTTTTATTGTGATTAAACGTTCTTAAACGTTTTATTTTCATCTTAATTGCTCTTTATTATGACTAATTAATAATAATATTTATTATTATTAATAGGTCGTTACAATATGATGATATGATATAATTAGAGGATATCTCAAACTTGTTTCTTAATTCAATTACCATAAACCTATAGTTTCAATGATAAAAATTCCTGAATAACGTACATGTATTGTAAGATAATAAAAATATTTTAAACGATAACTATTAACTTCTCATTTATTCAATAAAAGAAAAAAAATTGTTTTCTTATTGGTCACCACGCTCAAAAAGTGTAACTTGAACTAATATCAAAGAAAAGGAAATACTGCGTATATAAAAAAATAGATAAATAATTATAATAGCATACGTTGATAAAAAAATGCTATGCAATAGCTTTACCGCGGCAGTCCCAAGTTTATCGAGTGCCACAATTTTTTTTAATTTCAAACGGCTCGTACAGTAGTAGTACTGAGTGAGCAACTTGACAACGTTTTGCAACACGCCGACAACATGTTTCGGGTTGTAGGTGTCCATGTACAGCGGTGATAACTTACCTACCATCGGGCGATCAGATCCGCTTGATCATTTGCCATTCCTTTGAAATAAAAGATGTGACGGAAGACCAAGGCTCAAGGGAACAGGCGATGGAAGTTTAATTTTTTTGTAGTGCTAATCTCTGCACTTAAGATTAAACATTAAAATTTGTACAAAAATTGCAGAGATTAGCACACAAATTAAATTTCTAAAAAGCAATGGCGACATCTCTCGTTCGATTTAACGTTGTAAAACGATATTCGAAATTGTTTGTATGCTACGAAGGGTATAACAATGGATGCGCTTAGCATTGCTTCAAAGGCTAAAAAACAATGTAGATAAAAGACGTTAAGATTTTCGTCGTTGTGGCAATCAACCGTTTAGCTTGGTGGCTAAAGCGTCAGGCCGCGAATGCTGAAGACGTGGGTTCGATTCCCACAACGGCGACAAATATTTTCTTACTTTTTCTACAAATTTTAAGGCGATAGAAGTGATTTTGATTACTGCATTTAAAATAAGTTTTCGCAAAAATCTAAATTTACCCATATTTTAGTATCGTGTTGACTCAAGACCTTGATTTTTATACAACTACTAGCTGGCTCGGCAAACGTTGTTTTGCCATATAATTTACTGAATCGGAATGCACGCATAAAGTGTTTAACAGGTTACACAGACACAGTTGAAAGGTACAGTTTGTATGGGAAAATAAAATTGTTACAATTTCGATTTTCCATGCAATTTTCCCCTAGTTTTTTATCGTTTAAACCTTCCCTGGACCGCCACAAATATTTCAAAACCAAAATTAGCGAAATCGGTGCAGCCGTTCTCGAGTTTTAGCGAGACTAACGAACAGAAATACATTTTTATATATAAGAAGAAGAAGATTAGAGCCTTTAGACCTAAGTATCAATTTCAACTTGTTAGGTCCACCCGTTCCTGGGAATATCGGTGCTTGCACACGGACAGACGGATGGACACGAGAGTGATCTTATAAGAGTTCCTTTTTTTTAACTTTTGAGGTGCGGAACCCTACAAATACATCATTATCATATTCAAAATTGTTTACTGCTACTGTCAGTCGCGCTAATGCCTCTGCATGCGTTATGTGAACACTCCTCTTACATCAATAGAAACCATAAACTCGGTCTCGGTAAAGTAATAGTCTATATATGTCCCACTGCTGGGCAAAGGCCTTTGTATAGAGGTTATTATTGCATCACAGGTTATGACTGCACATATCTTCGTAATATTTTTGTTGTTTCGAATATATGCAGGTTTCCTTACTATGTTTCCCCTTCACCGCTAAGCACGACTGAACAGATAAAATTGAAATTAACAATTTCATCGGTTCACGTATTAATTTCATTGGTGCTGGCCCGGAATTTAAAGTAGAGTAGAGTTGTTCGTATTTTGGGTTTTTGGGTTGTTAATAGGGGTTTAGCTCACCTCGGCGTCTTACGGGCATTCTCATGTCCCGTCCACCATCTCCAGGCGGCAACATGCCCTGTGACGGGTCCAGCCCGTTGCCTGTTGGGACCGTACAAACATTTAGGATTAACTCATATATTACTTAATTTATACACTATGGTTTTTTATGAAGATATTTGAGAAGATGGCAAGCTAGCGGTGCACCCGGTGTTAAATGATTGACAATTCGTAACACCCGTAGGGTTGCAGATGCGTTGCCTTTAAAGCTCACTTACCGGACGAAACGCTTAATTGTAACACCTCTACTTCACGCCGGCCCTATGGGAGGTCGTGGTACTTCCCCGGATGGTTCTGCCCATTCGTGCAACAGCGAAGAGTGGTGCGTGACCTTACCACAGGGAACTTAAGGTATTTAAGGTGTGGGCGTGGCAGCAGCGTTTGCTGTTGCACGAACAGGTAGGCTCGTCTGGAGTACACGGCCTCACAGTAGACCAGCATGAAGTTTGGATGGCTGAGTGAGGAAACCGGGGCCCACTATTTTAAGCCTAAAGTGGGTGCAAGCGTAAGATGCTCATTTTCAGAAGCATTTTGGGCTCTAATAGTATTGGCTCACCTGCTCGTACGGGAAAGGGCGAATCATATGGGTGCCCACCTCCAATGGACCACTGATTACTGACAGGCGGCCATGCGCCCTCTGGTGTCCAATAGATCGCTTGCCTCGGCCAGTTCGCATTGGGCGGGATCCCAAAGGCTGCAATGTGTGGCAATTACAAACGTCAAACTTAACTCATGACGCATCAATTAATTTATTCCTCATGGTAGTGTACAGAGCGGAGAGCCACACTAATTTTATACAACAATTGCGTTGAAGAAGAAGAACAAGAAATTAAGTGATTAAGTAAGAAGAAAGTGATTAGAAGGAAGCATAAGACTAAGCAGGTGTCGCGTAAATTATTTAAATCTGCATAAATTAGTTCTTGTTCAGACCTTACTTAAGCTATTATTGAACGTCAATAGAAAAACTACCACCGATTCACTAAACTAGAATTGAACAGAGAAGAACCGGCAAGAAACTCTAAGGTCTTGTTTTATTGTTATTTTTTTATATGATGCAATTATACAAACTTATTTAGGTATAAAATCAGCAGCAGCCAGGGGTCTTGCAAGTGCAGAGCAAGAGTCATTTCCACACATCCTTGTCAATGTATTATTTTTATACATTATAATAAGCCCTTGCCATTAGGAT